GGCTCATTCCTTAATAGGGACGCAATCGCGCCAATCCTCCGAAGGAACGCGATCGAACGAGGGCCAATAACCCTCACCACTGCTACAGAAGTAAAAAAAAAAATATCTCAGAAAGAGAAGAATATTTAACTATTTATTTTTGTCTCTGCGTCCATGTTTAAAGAGAAGAGGAAGATTGTGATGGTTGCTTTTAATTTTCCATGTCGACGATATAGTTAATTTGCCTCGTCCTGTTGAAAGTTTACTTGTCAGACAGACGTCTGTTCCTTTGGATTTGCCATTTGAATTCTAGGTCGATTTTATTTTTTAAACCTTTTTGCCTCTTTCATTTTGTGTCTTGTTTTTTTCTTTTTTGTTTTATTTTTCGCGAGGAGGCTTTAATTGTCAAGCGCCGTTTTTTCTCTTCCACTTTAATTCGTAAATTTAACGTTTAATTTTTTTTTTTTTTGTAAGCAAATGCTCTGTTTATGATAAACAGTATTAAATAACATTTACCGGCCTGAATGTCCGAGAAATTTTCATAGAAAATATTCGTTCTTTGACAGGATTCGAACCTGCATCCTATACGGAACCGTCATTTACGCTGACGTGCCTTACCTCTGGGCCACAAAGAACCTTTTCGGTAGACAAGGTCGAATTTACTGCTTATAAACTTCAATCTTCCATGCATTCATAACTGCTCTGGCGTATCAAATGTAAACAAATGACGTCATATATTAAGAAATGGACAAGGTCCGACAATTTATTTATTAAATACATTTTTTATGTTTAACGTTGTTTTTTATAGATACAAGTATTTAAGCAAATGCTCTGTTTATGATAAACAGTATTAAATAACATTTACCGGCCTGAATAAAAATGAAATTTTCATAGAAAATATTCGTTTTTTGAAATATTCTCTAAACATTCAAAAAATTTAAAAACGAAAAAGTAAAAACAGAGCATTTTTAAATATTTGTATCTATAAAAACAACGAAAACATAAAATGACATTTATATAAATAAAATATATAAATAAATATATATATATATATATATATATATATATATATATATATATATATATATATATAAAAAAAGATATAATTATAGTTTCCAACGAGAGAAAAGTATGTATATTAAAAGAAGAGAAGAGAGAAACCGCAAACGTTTTTGGTTGTAATGTGGATTTATTTAAAAAAAATATTATGCTTTTTTTTTTCCATAATTTTACGACACGTGTTTCTGGTCTCGCGTTCGTCTTCAGGTAAAAGTGGAGATTTCTACATATTATTAAAAATAATTAATTTTTTTCTTATGTTCAATGTTAAATATTCTCGATATGAGACATTCTCTGTGTGTTGGTAATCCGAATTTCTTTCGTGAATTAGTGTTTCATTAAGACGGGTTATATATAATAAGGGTGTTTCATTAAAACGGATCAAAGCCAGCAGTAAATAAACCAGTATTATTGGTGAAAAATTATTTATTTCTCTATCGCCCATATGTCCGCCAAATCCGAAAGAAAACGAAAAAAATCAGTAGAAGCTTAAACACATTGAAATCAGTTCAAGTTATTGGAACACCTTTGATGTATATATATATATTTATTAAAGACATTTTTTTATGTTTAACGTTGACGCGAAGAGTCGGAAATTCATTGAGGTGAGCAGGAAATCAATGAAGAAGCCCTCAAAAGTTTGAATATTTGGTCAAAGGTGCTAGTCAGGAGGAACATTCTTCTGGCTACCGAACAAGAAGCCAAACAGCTGGCCGGAAGTATTTTGATGTCAAAGGCGGTCCGGCTTCAGACTGAATACATGAGCAGGTGCAGGACAAAAATTACCAGCGTGCCCTGGATGCGAGAGTGGACCTTGTCCATGTTGATGCCGGGGGCCGGTTGATCGTGGCCAGTATTGCGGTTAAAAGTAGTTCGGATCGTTGCGTTTATGCGCCAGTCGACCGGGACGACCGTGTCCCGTTTTTTCGGCTGTTGTGTCGTTCCTGGTGGATTCAACGCGCTTAGTTCTAATGGGGAACTGGAATGCCGTCCTGAACCCAAAGTTAGATAGTGGGCGGAGAGCTAGCGGGAGGTCGGGCGATCTGGTTGATCTGAAAAATGAGTTTAGTCTCGTCGATATATACTGGGTCGATCAGCCAATGAAAAAAAAAGTTTTATTGGACATTTCTTTATATTTGAGCATTAAATGTCTATTTATGATACCCTAGCTAAAATGGATAGAATTTTGAAGTTGTCAGACTTCAAAACTTGATAAACTTAGATTTATCATCATTTTTGACCGGTTAAAAAAATTCGGAATTTCAAAGAATATGTACCCTGGTGGCTTATTTTTGTAGGGAATACAATGATTTGGATGCTATAGTTTAATAAAACATTTATTTTGAACGATTTTAAAGGAACAGCATAACTATCGTAATATTCTGAAATGGGGGATTTAATTGAAAAACAAAAGAAGTGGGCAAAGCCAAATTTGAGGATAGGATTAGTTTCTTCTTTTCAGCCTTTAAGGCAAAAAGCAAAATTAAAACAATAAAAATTGTAATGAATCAAAATATGATGGTGAATTCTCTATTTGAAAACAGATAACAGACCAATTTAAATATTTGGCCCTTTAGCGTTTGTTTAAAATAAAATTTAACATGTATCAGGTAATTCTTTTAAATTAAGCAAGATGTTTCTCAAAAATAAAAAAAATGGAAGAGATTCGCCGAGGTTCAGGTCGATATATTTGAAGGCAGAAAAAACACTGGAAAAGCATACCCTGAAATGAAAAAAAATGTTTTTGAAAGGCGTTTCTGTTTATTAAAAAATTTCTGATCTCTGTGACGAAAATAAACTTTTTAATCTTCCTCAGCGGCTTCAGAACAAATTGAGATCACAGAGGTCGAAGATTTTTATATGGTACCGAAGAAAAAAATAAGAAATAAATCGCCGGGTCTGGATGATTTTGCCCTCTGAAGTGTATTTATATATATGTGCTACACTTTTGTATATTTTGACTGCCGTGTTCAACAACTGGTTTTGCCATTAATTCGAACAAATTTCATACATAATAAAAATAAATATTTAAAATTAGAAACGGTGAAAAAACGACGAAGAAATATAATATATCAATTTTGATCAGTCATTTGATAAAGTCAACCATCGGTTTTTGGCTTTTGTTGTACTGAAGGACGTAAATTACGACTTCCGTATAAATTTAGCCTCCTGTATTTCCCACTAAAGTGCTAATGGTGGGCGAATTATATCTTGCGCTGTCTCAATAATTTAGTCATAGAAATTCATTTGCCTCTATTTTAATATAATTTTCATAGCCAATGTATTTCCTTTTTGTGTGGGACAGGGCGTCTTTTTGCGAAATTTTTTTCATGTGGTATCGTTTGTCCCTGAGGCCGGAGAAGGGTATTTAACATTTCTTTTTCCGCGTTCGCTTTATATATATCTATTTTCCGCTCGTCTATTGCAGCGACATTGAAGTGGTAATGAAGGCAAATATCGGTACGAAAATGTTTTTTAGGGCCAAGATTAACCGCGACAGTTAATTCTACCGGCTTTATTTTAGGTTCCTGGAAGGGGATCGATCTCATACTTCATTTTTGGTTAAACAGATGGTATTTTCGCATCCTCAAAAAGGTTTTGAACCTGACCTCAGCTGGATAATAAAATGGTATTAATAACACAGGCAAAAAGATGAATATTTGGTCGAGAATTGGCTTTGAAAGAGCTTCAAGGCGTGTGCCAAACCCGTCTTGCCTCTTGTCCTCTATCAACTTTTCTTACTTCTTCTAGATAAGGTTTTTAAGAATATAAAAAATGCTTGATTTTGCCAAAAATCTCTCTTGTGGCGGGGGGAATTTCATTATTCGACAGATTTTTTCTGTATTTAAACGCCCGTGTCATGGGTGGAGGGGCTGTGGATACTGCATTGGAGAGTCACAAACACGCCTCGAGGCTGGCTTTCCTACGCCGCGCACTGACAAGGGACTCGATTTTTTGGCGGGGTTTTTTTGTTTTATTTTTCCTTTTTTAATATCAAACTCCTTTAAAAGGACCAATCGCCTTTGTAAGCCCCGGGATAAATCGAGTTTCCTGCTTGAGTGTCGATCGGCCTTGAATGTCGTTCCTCTGTCCAGTGACTTTTCTCGGCCTATCACTAAAATTTTAAAATTATTAAAATTCGTGAAAATCCAAACCGGCTCGGCTTGTATTTGATAATTGGTGCTTTTTTTTGGTCTTGTGTGCCAGCGGCGGATCCCCTCAGCAACTCTGAGTTTTCGCATACCTGTCGGATCGTTAAATTATTGGAATACTTTTCAGTTGACCAAATTTCATAAATAAACATTATGAATTTAAAAAAAAATATCAACGATGAAACTTTGGCTTGGACTAAACAAATTACAGACGCCTTTTAAATTGTCAAATGTCAGTAATCCATGGGACTTTGTTATATTGCCGACGGCTCGTTTCTCTATTTTAGCTTGCGCTCATTAATCGTGCATACATTATAATTGACAATGTGTCGCCCCCATATTCTGGGGTGGAACGGACGGGGTTTCTATCGCTGCGATCCATTGCCCGAATGGCGATTTGGACGACGATTAGAGGAAATCTTGCGAGTTGACAATTATTCTCATCAGGATCTAATAGAAAGCGATTGGTTTGGACAGATTTTAACGAAAGGTGGATGACTGCGACGACCCTGGAAAGCAAACAGGGCTAATTTTTGATTTTTTTTTTTTTTAGGTCTAGACTTTTTTTTGTGTACCTGGGTAATAAATTAAGTGTCGTTCCTGTCTTTTTTCCTTGCTTTTTTTTTTCAAGTCAATATTCAAATGGGGTACCTCCCATTTTTTTTGTTTTTCTGTTAATGTCCTTTTTAAACTTCATTATTTTTTTCTTTTTTAAAAATAACTGGAACTATTTCTTTTTTTTTATTTTTTGACTTTTGACTTTTTCTTTCTTTCTTTCTTTCTTTCTTTTTTCTTTCTTTCTTTCTTTAGCATTTTCATCTGTCCATCCTTTCTTTTCTTCTTTCTTTTTGTCGTCTTTTCCAGTATTTCAGTTTTTAGCTTTCTCAAACTTCCTTTTTTTTCTTTCTTAATCTTTTTCTTTTCTTTTTTATTCCTTTCCTTTTTTTTTTTACTTTCATTTTTTTTTTTTTTTTTTTTTTTTTTTTTGCACCATTTTATTTTTTATTTCTCATCTTTCTTTTAGAAAAAAAAGTTTTCTTTTCTTTTTTTTTTGATATATTTTCTTTTAGCATTTTCATCTGTCTTTCCTTTTCTTTCCTTCTTTTTTTTGCCTTCTTTTTCCAGTATTTCTTTTTTTAAACTTTTCTTAATTTTCTTTCTTATTTTCTTTCTTTCTTTCTTTCTTTCTTTCTTTTCTTCTCCACCCCTTCCTTTTTACCTTTTTCATCTGTCCTTTCTTTCTTTTGCAGCATTTTATTTTTTAGCTTTCTCCTCTTTCTTTCTTTCTTTCTTTCTCATCTTTCTCATCTTTCTTTCTTTCTTTCTTTCTTTCTTTCTCATCTTTCTTTTTTTCCTTCTCATCTTTCTTTCTGTCTTTCTTTCTTTTTTCTTTCTTTCTCATCTTTCTTTCTTTCTTTCTCATCTTTCTTTCTCAATCTTTTTTTCTTTCTCATCTACATTTGTTTTCTTTTCTTTGATTTTTCATGTTCTTAATTTGTCATTTCTTACTTTCTTTGATTTTACGTTTGCATCTGCCCGCCCCCTCTACTTTCTTTTATATTTTTTAACAATTCTTTTTTTTTTTCTCGTTTTTCTTTTTCTCCGATCTTTTGCTGTCCTTCATTCCTTCTCATTTTTCTTTCCTTTTTTTCTTTAAGACTTTCCAATTTTTCTATCTTTCTTTCTCCCTGGTGGATTAAATTTGTCTTCTGTTCTTTCTTTTATCTTTCTTTCTTTCTTTCTTTCTTTTTACTTTCTTTCATTTAAAATCTACACCTCTCCTCTTGTTTCTTATTCTCGTTTTGCTTTTTCTCGAATCATTTCCCTTCCTTCCTACTTTCCTTGCTTCCTTCATTCTTTCCATTTTTTCTTTCTATCCCTCCTTCCTTCCTTCCTTCCTTCCTATCATCCTTCCTTCCTTCCTTCCTTCTATCTTACTTTCCTTCTTTCCATCATTCCATCTTCCTTTTTCCTTCCTTCCTTCTTCCTTCCTTCCTTCCTTCCTTCCTTCTTCCTTCCTTTTCCTTTCTTTTCTTTCTTTCCTTCCTTCCTTCTTCCTTCCTTCCTTCCTTCCTTCCTTCCTTCCTTCCTTCCTTCCTTCCTTCCTTTCTTTCTTTCTTCCTTCATTCCTTCTTCCTTCCTTCCTTTTTTTTTCTTCCTTCCTTCCTTTCTTCCTTCCTTCCTTCCTTCCTTCCTTCTTCCTTCCTTCCTTCCTTCCTTCCTTCTACCTTACTTTCCTTCTTTCCATCATTCCATCATCCTTCTTTCCATTTTCCCTTCTTCCTTCCTTCCTTCCTTCCTTCTAGCTTTCTTTCCTTCTTTCCATCCTTCCATCTTCCTTCTTTCCATCTTTCCTTCCTCCCTTCCTTCCTTCCTTCCTTCCTTCCATCCATCATTCATTCCTTCTTTCCTTCCTTCCTTCCTTCCTTCCTTCCTTCCTTCCTTCCTTCATTCCTTCCTTCTATCTTTCTCTCCTTCTTTCCATCCTTCTATCTTCCTTCTTTCCTTCCTATCATCCTTCCTTCCTTCCTTCCATTTTTCTTTCCTTCCTTCTTTCCTTTCTATCATCCTTCCTTCCTTCCTTCTTTTTTTCCTTCCTTCCATCTATCCTTCCTTCCTTCTATCTTTTTATTCCTTCTTTCCATCCTTCCTTCCTTCCTTCCTTTAATCTTTCTTACCTTCTTTCTTTCATCCTTTTTTCTATTTTTCTTTCTTTTAAGTTTTTTCCAGTCTTCCTTCCTTCCTTCCTTCCTTCCTTCTTTCTCTTTTAGATTTTCCATTTAATCATCCTTCTTTCTTTCTTTTTTATATTTTTAGTCTATCCTTTCTTCTTTCTTTCTGTTTTTCGTTCTTTTTAGCTTCTTCATCCACCCATCCTTCCTTACTTCTTTCTTATTTTTTCTTTATTTATTTCTTTCTCATTTACATTTTCCATCTCTCCATTCTTCGTTCATTCATCGTTTCTTCCTAGTTTTCTTTCTTTCTTTTCAGGTTTTTCATCCTTCCTTCTTTAATTCTTTCTTTCTCTTTTAGATTTTTCATTCATTATTTCTTCTTTCTTTCTTTGATCCTTTCATTCTATTTTTCTTTCTCATATGGTTTTCTCTCCTTCCTTATTTCTTTTTCCCTTTTAGATTTCTTCTTTTTTAGATTTTTCATCTATCATTTCTTCTTTTTACTTTCTTTTCTTTTTAGAATTATCAGAAATCCTTCCTTCCTTCCTTCCTTCTTGTCTTTTAAATTTTCCATTTATTCTTTCTTCAGATTTTCCATCTGTTTATTCTTTGTTCTTTCCCTCTTCCTTTATATTTTTCTTTCTTTTCTTTAGATTTATCATTACATCTTTATTTCTTTTTTTTTACATCTTTAAACTATCCTTTCGTCTTTGTGTCATCCTTTTGTATATTTTTCTTTTTAAAGTTTTTCATTCTTCCTTTAACTCCTTCTTCCATCCTTCCTTCCTTCACCCCTTCCTTCCATCCTTCCTTCATTCCTTCCTTCCTTCCTTCGATCCTTCCTTCACTCCTTCCATCCATCATTCCTTCTTCCTCCTTCCTTCTTTTTCCTTCCTTCCATCCTTCTTTCCTTCCTTCACTCCTTCCTTCACTCCTTCCATCCTTCCTTCACTCCTTTCTTCCATCCTTCCTTCTTTCACTCCTTCCATCCATCCTTCCTTCCTCCACTCCTTCCTTCTATCCTTCGTTCCTTCACTCATTCCTTCGTTCCTTGACTCCTTCCTTCCATCCTTCCTTCACTCCTTCCTTCCTTCCTTCCTTCCTTCACTCCTTCCTTCCATCCTTCCTTCCTTCCTTCACTCCTTTCTTCCATCCTTTTTTCCTTCATTCTTTCCTTCACTCCTTCCTTCCTTCACTCCTTCCTTTCTTCCTTCACTACTTCCTCCCATCCTTCATTCATTCCTTTCTTCCTTCACTCCTTCCTTCCATCCTTCCTTCCTTCACTCCTTCCTTCCTTCCTTCCATCCTTCCTTCCTTCCTTCACTCTTTTCTTCCATCATTCCTTCCTTCACTCTTTCCTTCACTCCTTACTTCCTTCACTCCTTCCTTCACTCCTTCCTTTCTTCCTTCACTACTTGCTTCCATCCTTCATTCATTCCTTCCTTCCTTCAATCCTTCCTTCCATCTTTCCTTCACTCCTTCCTTCCTTCACTCCTTCCTTCACTCCTTCCTTCACTCCTTCCTTCCTTCCTTCTTTCCTCGCTTCTTTCTTTCTCTTTTAGATTTTCGATTTATCTTCCCTTCTTTCTTTTTTTAGATTTTTATTCTCTCCTTTCTTCTTTCTTTCAACAATTCTTTCTGTTTTTCTTTTTAGATTTATCATCCATCCATCCTTCCTTTTTTCTTCTTTCTTTCTTTCTTAGACTTTCCATTCATTCCTTCTTCTTCTTTTTCTTGGTCTTTTAGATTTTCGATTTGTTCTTTCTTCGTTATTTCATCGTTTCATTGTAGTTTTCTTTCTTTCTTTTTAGGTTTTTCATTCTTCCTTCTCGTTTTTTCTTTTCCATTTTCCATTCATCATTTCTTCTTTCTTTCTTTTTTAGATTTTTCGTCTGTCTTTTCTTCTTTCTTTCATCCTTTCTTTCTATTTAATTTCTTTCTGTTTTTCTCTTTAAAATTTTTCATTTACCTTTCCTTCTTTCTTTTTCATTAGATTTTTCATCCATCTTTCTTTCTTACTTTATTTCATGTTTTAGATTTTCATTTTTCTCTATCCCTAATTTCTTTCTTTCTTTTTCATTTCTTACTTATCTTCTGTCTCCATTTCCGTTTTCTTTCTATCTTCATCATTCTTTCCCACTCTCTTTTCAATCTTCATTTCTATTTCACTAATGCAGTCATTAAGAACCTGATAGTGTTATCGCTTTCTCCCACTTCTTTTCTTTTTCTTTCTTTCTTTCTTTCTTTCTTTCTTTCTTATTTATTACTTATCTTCTGTCTCTATTTCCACTTTCTTTCTATCTTCATCTTTCTTCCCCTCTCTCTTTTCATTCTTCATTTCTATTTCACTAAAGCAGTCATTACGCACCTGATACCGTTAACGCTTTCTCCCACTTCTTTTCTTTTTCTTTCTTTCTTTCTTTCTTTCTTTCTTTCTTTCTTTCTTTCTTTCTTTCTACTTACTTCTTATCGTCTGCTTCCTTCATTTTTAGCTCAATATAAATTCACAGAGGTATTCTTGATTTCTTTACGTTTCTTCTGCACGAAAAGTGGCGAAGTCTGTCACGAAAGCCAAAAGTCCGCAGGGGATTCTTGGAATTGGCCTCAGGGCATTTTCCCTCTTACCATTTCTGTCTTGAAGGCAATTTTTGCGATTTTTTTAAAAAAGTTATTTGTTCCCTTTATCGAAAATCGCTTTCTGGGGCTCGGGCAATCAGACATGATATTTTTATGTTACGCTATTCAAATCACCACGTTACTCCCGCGAGGAATTTGTTATTTCGATTTTGTTATTTTTGTTCCTTTCCTTTTATTTGTCCTTCTCTTTTGGAAAGTTCTGTGACTACCCAAGTCCATTTTTAGTCGGTGTTAATTTCTTCGCTGGCATGCTTTTAAGTTCCCGCTCTTTCTCATTCTTTTAGCAGTCATTCTTTTATTTATTTATTTTTTTTTTCATTTCTTTCGTTTTAGTTTTTATTTTCGTACTCGGCTTTTATTCAGCGTTTCTTTCTTTGTCATTGACTACAGAAAAGCGTTCCTTTTTTTCCTAACAAAATATTCCTTTCTTTCTTTCTTTCTTTCATTATTTATTTATTTATTTATTCATATCTCTTTTTTTTCTTTCTTTTTTTCACA